TGGATAAGCGAAACTCTACTGTATTTGTTTACATGCCATTTTAATGGTATTGTGCTATTTGTTGTTTCCTGTCTGGATCCATACTGGGAAGTGAGTATGAATTACTATTACTATTATTAATTATAATCTCCAGAGCATAATCTTCTTGAAGACGCTGGATTTAAAGAACCATAGAATAACAATTTATTCTTGGGCATCTACAATGTGGATTACTTTTGTTGAACTGTTCCTGAACTTAAGACATTAATGCAAAAACATTAGTAAGCCTTGCCTGGGCAAAGACAACTACACAGTGTGCCTGTTACATGCCTTCAAATAAACTCTGATTTATGGCAACCCCATCATAGGGTTTTCCCAGCAAGGTTTATTCAGAGGAAGTTTGCCAAGGCCTTACTCCAAAACGGAGATTGTGACTTGCTCATAGTCACCCAATGGGTTTATATGCCCGAGCAAGGATTCAAACTCTGGTCTCCAGAACTGCAGTCCAACACTAAAAGCACATACCATATTGGCACATTTTTTTCATCGTCCGCTGTATAATATTTAGTCTCAAGAAGAGTTCTCAAGGAATTAAACAGCTGGACATGACTTTGTAGCATTTTGAACTTTATGTACTACCATACTGAATTTTCAGGTCCCCTGATGTCGCAGCGGGTTAAACCACTGAGCTGCTGAACTTGCTGACTGAAAGGTTAGGGGTTCGAATCCGGGGAGAGGGGTGAGCTTTCGCTGTTAGGCCCAGCTTCTGCCAACCTAGCAGTTCGAAAACATGCAAATGTGAGTATCTCAATAGGTACTCCTTCTGTGGGAAGGTAACGGTGTTCCATGCAATCATGCTGGCCACATGACCTTGGACAATGCCGGCTCTTCGACTTAGAAATAGAGATGAGCACCACCACCCAGAGTTGGACACGACTAGACTTAATGTCAGGGGAAACCTTTACTATACTGAATTTTCACTCTCTTACACTGTTTTTCAATGTAAAAATGACCCTATGACTAATTTTAAATGTCTGTTGTCAGAACTTTGAGAAACAAATAGAATCAGGTGACTGTGAGGCAAATTATTGATTTTGCTGTTTATTTGCTATTCATCTTTAGATTTTCACATGTGTGGGCATACAATTGCACAATTTAGGCTTTTTTTAAAAAAACCTGGCAATGAGTTCAAACTCTAATTTTAAAAACCGCATCATCAGACCTCGTGCAATTTGTTTGCAGTCCGTTTGTGCTACATTGCTTTCAAACTTTTGACCTTTCTCAAAACATTTACCCAAGATCAGATTAACTGGAATCAATGGTACTGTGTTACATAAAGGAGATTTAATATTTCCTTCAAAAGCTTTTAGAGGTCTTTGAAGGCTATGCCTAGCTAACATCAGTAAAGAATATAAATTGCAGCCTTGTATGCTGACAAACAAACACTCAGAATAAAAACTTCAATCCTATATAATCTCACAGTGCAGTTGCCTGTTCATGCTGTTTCAGATGAAAGTCTCCCTGGATAGAGAATATGCTAAAAAATGAAAGCCTTCAAATGTGAAATTACTTACTGATTATATATTATGTTGGTACTGATGTTATGTTACTTTTCTGTTACTTTTACCGGCACATGGAAAGTAAGTACTCTAATCATGTACCATCAGGAGCCATTTAAAACATTTTAATACTTTCTCTTTCTTTTCCTTCCTCTTTCTTCTATTATTGCCTTCCTACCAAAAATGTGCATTATTATTATTAAACAGAAACATGTATACCCTCTTAATAAAATTAAAGATATCAATGTTAAAAAATGTCTTGTATATGAGCTTTACAGTCCTGTGTTTCGATGATGCAAGCAGTGCATTGCTACACAGGGACAATTTTAAGGTCTTATATAAAAAATGTAAATGGAATTTGTAACTAGTCAGATCATTACTATGGCACTTATACTTCGATGTAAATCTATTTATGCAACATTCCAATAATCGTGATGGCTACTATTACCCATTAAAGGCTGTGTGTATTTTTTGCGTGGGGAGGAGGGTACACCCTGTAGATATAGATGATATGTGCACTGAAGTTATTACAAACCACATATATGTAGGTATGTAGAGAAAACAAGAGAATATTTTAACAAAAACTAGATTTGTACATTTCTAGTAATTAAGTGCATCCTTCTGGGATCCAGAATGTATGGGAAAAGTGCTGTCGATTTTCTTTTTAATCACATATCTAGATAGATAGATAGATAGATAGATAGTTAACAGGTAATTCAGTCTAACAACTGAAATCATTGCATAGCATAATTAGATCTGGTTGTATTCCATAAAGGGAAGATTCTCCTCTAAAGAGTTATCTGAAAGATCATGCTTTTCTAAAAGGATATGATCTCCAAATAGTGTTTTTTCCAAAAAGGTTATAAATGTCATTTTCAAAAAAATATATGCCTGAAATGTGTATTATTATCATAGGAAAAGGCAAAAATATTGCCCCAAAGGATATTTTATACTATATCGTAGAACAGGCATGGACAAACTTGCGCCCTCCAGGTGTTTTGGATTTCAACTCCTACAATTCCTAACAGCCTACTGGCTGTTAGGAATTGTGGGAGTTGCAGTCCGAAACACCTGGAGGGCACAAGTTTGCCCATGCCTGTCGTAGATGTATAGAATAGATAAAATATAATAGTATATTATTATATAATAAAATATTAAATATAATAGATATAATAGTCTGTCATAGGAGATGTATAGCATAGATATAATATAATAGTATAATTTAACATTATTATATTATATAATGTATTTATTGTATTGTATTGTATGTATTGTGCCCAATTCTGGGCACCAGAATTGAAGAGAGATATTGACAAGCTGGAATGTGTCCAGAGGAGGGCGACTATAATGATCAAGGGTCTGGAGAACAAGCCCTATGAGGAGCGGCTTAAAGAGCTGGGCATGCTTACCCTGAAGAGGAGAAGGCTGAGAGGAGACATGATAGCCATGTATAAATACACGAGAGAAGTCATAGGGAGGAGGAAGAAAGCTTGTTTCTGCTGCCCTGGAGATTAGGACGTGGAACAATGGCTTCAAACTATAAGAAAGGAGATTCCACCTGAACATTAGGAAGAACTTCCTGACTATGAGAGCCGTTCAGCAGCGGAACTCTCTGCCCCGGAGTGTGGTGGAGGCTCTTTCTTTGGAAGCTTTTAAACAGAGCCTGGATGGCTATCTGTTGGGGGTGCTCTGAATGCAGTTTTCCTGTTTCTTGGCAGGGGGTTGGACTGGATGGCCCTTGAGGTCTCTTCCAACTCTATGATTCTATGATTTATAAGTTATAGCATATATATTATATAATATTAAACATAATACATATAATAGGTATAATATAATAGCATAGATATAACAGTTTGCCATAGAAGATGTATAGCATAGATAGAATAAGGAAATAAATAAATATACATAAAGATCTGTCTGAAATGTGTATCATAATAAATATAATATAATAGCATAGATATAATAGTCTGGCTTAGAAGATGTATAGCATAGATAGAATAAAGAAATAAAAATATACAGAAATATGTGTCTGAAATGTGCATCATAATAAATATAATAAGTATAGATATAACAGTAATAGATATAGTAGTCTGTCATAGATAGAATAAATAAATAAATATACAGAAATACGTGTCTGAAATGTGTATCATAATATAAAAATATAGATATAATAGCAATAGATATAGTAGTCTGTCATAGAATAAATAAACATAAAGATCTGTCTGAAATGTGTATCATAATAAATATAATAAATATAATAGCATAGATAGAATAGTCTGGCTTAGAAGATGTAAAGCATAGATAGAATAAATAAATAAATATACAGAAAGATCTGTCCGAAATGTGTATCATAATAAATATAATAAATATAGATATAATAGCATAGATATAATAGTCTGGCTTAGAAGATGTATAGCATAGAAAGAATAAAGAAATAAAATATACAGAAATATGTGTCTGAAATGTGTATCATAATATAATAAATATAGATATAATAGCAATAGATATAGTAGTCTGTCATATAGAATAAATAAATATACAGAAATATATGTCTGAAATGTGTAACATTATAAATATAATATAGATATAATAGCAAAAGATATAGTAGTCTGCCATAGAAGATGTATAGCATAGATATAATAAATAAATAAATAAATATACAGAAAGATCTGTCCGAAATGTGTATCATAATAAATATAATATAATAGCATAGATATAATAGTCTGGCTTAGAAGATGTACAGCATTGATAGAATAAAGAAATAAAAATATACAGAAATATGTGTTTGAAATGTGTATCATAATAAATATAAATAGCAATAGATATAGTAGTCTGTCATACATAGGATAAAGAAATAAAAATATACAGAAATATGTGTCTGAAATGTGCATCATAATAAATATAATAAATATAGATATATCAATAGATATAGTAGTCTGTCATAGAAGATGGATAGCATAGATAGAATAAATAAATAAATATACAGAAAGATCTGTCCGAAATGTGTATCATAATAAATATAATAAATATAATAGCATAGATATAATAGTCTGGCTTAGAAGATGTATAGCATAGATAGAATGAAGAAATAAAAGTATACAGAAATCTGTGTTTGAAATGTGCATCATAATAAATATAGATATAATAGCAATAGATATAGTTGTCTGTCATAGATAGAATAAATAAACAAATAAACAGAAGTGTGTGTCTGAAATGTGTATCATTTAGTTGTCCCAGGAAAGGAAAGGCAGAGCTCCCTCCCAAGCCTGGCTCTGGCTCTTCCTTCTCCCTCCCTCCGCCTCTCCCTGCTCTTCCCTCCTGGGCGCTCCCCTCCCTCCGCGTCAGAGGAGGCTCATAAAGGCGGCCAGGGCGGCGAGGGGAGTTCCGAGCGCATCGATGCCTGGAAGCCACCCGGGCGGCTCCTTTTCGGCGATCGATTCACTCCCGCCCGGAGTCAGCTGTGGGAGTGGAGGGGCGGGCCGCGACCATTTTTAATGTATTTTATTAAAGGCAGGAAGGCAGGCAGGCAGGCAGGAAGAAGGGGATCGCGACCACGCGTGGGAGGACGGGGCCGCTCTCGGTACGTGGTTCTTCCCCTCAAACACACACACACACACACACGGGGCTTGGGACTCCTCCGGCGGGAACACACCAGCTGCCTTCCTCTCTTGTCAGGGAATAGCCGGGGGGAGGGGAGCCGCGTTTGGGGAAGAGCCGCGGAGGGAGGGGCGCCGCCTCCCTGGAACAGCCCCCTCCTCCACGAAACTTCTCCCTCCCTCTCTCTTGACAGGGCCTACCACGTTAAGCGTCGTTCACACTTTAATTTGTCACATGCCTGCGGTTTTATAGCAACTTGACGTTTATATTGGATAGGGAAAGGGAAAGGTTTCCCCCTGACATTTAGTCCAGTCGTGTCCCACTCTGGGGTGTGGTGCTCATCTCCATTTCTAAGCCGAAGAGCCGGCGTTGTCCTTAGACACCTCCAAGGTCATGTGGCCGGCATGACCTCATGGATAGCTGTATTGGGTAGCTATATCTATATATAATGTATGTCCATTATAGGAATCCAGAAATTGACCTCAGATTCGTTCCCTCGCCTGGATTTTCCTCTCACTCACAATTTGCCTTTATTGGGTTGTTGTAAGTATTTTTTTCGGGCTATATGGCCATGTTCTAGAGGCATTCTCTCGTGACGTTTCGCCTGCATCTATGGCAAGCATCCTCAGAGGTTTCCCGTCAGCACTGCAGAACTAATGGAGTTGGCCTCCCTTCCCTTCTAACTCAATGCAGTGGAATAATGGGAGGTGTAGTTTCACAGTGCAGAAAGCAACTAAGAGTTAGAACTGGGTTGTTGTAGGTTTTTCGGGCTATATGGCCATGTTCTAGAAACATTCTCTCCTGACGTTTCGCCTGCCTCTATGGCAAGCATCCTCAGAGGTTCTGAGTAGGTTTTTCGGGCTATATGGCCACGTTCTAGAAGCATTCTCTCCTTACATTTCGCCTGCCTCTATGGCAAGCATCCTCAGAGGTTGTGAGTAGGGTTTTCAGGCTATATGGTCATCTTCTAGAAGCCATCTCTCCTAACGTTTCGCCTGCCTCTATGGCAAGGATCCTCTGAGGTTGTGAGTAGGGTTTTCGGGCTATATGGCCATCTTCTAGAAGCATTCTCTCCTGACGTTTCACCTGCCTCTATGGCAAGCATCCTCAGGTTGTGAGTAGGTTTTTTGGGCTATATGGCCATGTTCTAGAAGCATTATCTCCTGACATTTCGCCTGCATCTATGGCAAGCATCCTCAGAGGTTGTGAGACCTCACAACCTTTGAGGATGCTTGCCATAGATGCAGCGAAACGTCAGGAGAGAATGCATCTAGAACAACATGGCCATATAGCTCAAAAAACCAACAACAACCCAGTGATTCCAGCCATGAAAGCCTTCAACAAGAGTTTATTGCCTGATAAAATTAAAATTGGTTCTAGTTTCCTAAGGTGCACCTGCACCAGTGTTTCTCAACCTTCCTAATGCTACAACCCCTTAATACAGTTCCTCATGTTGTGGTGACCCCCCAACCATAACATTATTTGTGTTGCTGTTTCATAACTGTAATTTGGCTACTGTTATGAATCGTCATGTAAATATCTGATATGCTTCAGTAGCTGAGCGGGAAAGGGAAAGGGCCTGAGGCTGTAAGGAATTGTGGGAGTTGCAGTCCAAAACACCCGGAGGGCCCAAGTTTGCCCAGGCCTGGTGTAGAATGTGTATCTGCTTCAAGTTGAGTTAAGGTGACTTAAATTGTATAGGATTTTTATAAGGTCACAATTTGATAGGGTTTTCTTCAGCAAGGTGGTTTTGCTAGTTATTCCCTTGAAAAAAATATTGTTATCATTTATTATTTCTATCCCACGGTGGCACAGTGGGTTAAAGCGCTGAGCTGCTAAATTGTTTACCGAAAGGTCGCAGGTTCGAATCTGGGGAGCGGTATGAGCTTCCGCTGTCAGCCCCAGCTTCTGCCAACCTAGCAAATGTGAGTAGATCAATAGTTACCGCTCTGACGGGAGGATAACGGCGCTCCATGCAGTCATGCTGGCCTCATGACCTTGGAGATGTCTATGGACAATGCCGGCTCTTCAGCTTAGAAATGGAGATGAGCACTAACCCCCAGAGTCGGACACGACTGGACTTAATGTCAGGGGAAAACCTTTACCTATCTCGCTTTTCTCTTGAGTTGGGACTCAAAGTGGCAAACAGCATTTAAAAAGTAGAAAAACAACATACAGTAGAGTCTTGTTTATCCAACCTCTGCTCATCCAACGTTCTGTATTATCCAATGCAGTCTGCCTCCTGCCTGGATGCACAGCTGTTTCAATACATTGTGATGTTTTGGTGCTAAATTCATAAATACAGCAATTACTACATAACGTTGCCATGTATTGAACTGCTTTTTCTGACAATTTGTTGTAAAACATATTTTGGTGCTTAATTTGTAAAATCATAACATAATTTGACGTTTAATAGGCTATTCCTTAATCCCTCCTTATTCAACATTTTAGCTTACCCAGTGTTCTGCCAGCCCGTTTACGTTGGATAGGCGAGACTCTACTGTGCAATAAAAATGAACAGCACCATCATAATCATATCTAATAAAAGTAATAAATTATCAAAAACACACACAACATCAACGTGATTGAGAACTAGAACAAACATAGTTAAACCACAATAGATTAAAACTCCAATAACCTATAGCGCCCAGTGTTGACTTTGTGGTCTCCCATCCAAGTACTATCCAAGTACTTTTGTGATTAAATGGAATTGGTGTTGAATTTATTAATGAAGTTTGTGAAAGAACTGTGTACGGTATGATGTTTTACATTATATTTTTAAAAATTGCATGAGAAATAGATGGGGGGGGGGGGGCACTTACTGTAACCCGAATCTGAATTATCACTTTTTCATCTGGATCTACTGTGTGTAGTGAGGCGAATCATGAGTGTCCTCTTGAATGTCATAGCTGAGTTACTTTTGACGTAAATACAGCTGTGGGTGTATCTTTGTGTGTGCATGCACTTTAAATCTCTCTGCGCCTCTACCTCCTCCTCTGTTGTTTTGGGTGAAAGACATGCAGTATATGATTTCCAGGTGCCCCCTTTCATAAGCAATGAGCCCTGTTTAAGGACTGGAGAATTTTCCCTTTTGTATATTGACCAAACAAGGTGTCAAAACCCCCATTTTGAGAGCATGGACCCTTCATGGAGACAGATATATGTGCATTATACAATATATGACAGAGGGCAATATATTAATTCTACAGATAAATGCATGGCAAGGTTAATTGCATCCAGTATAATTGAGTCTCCTTTATCCAAAATGCTAGGGACCAAAAGTGTTCCGTATTTATGATTTTTTTTAATTAAAAAAATTAAAGTACATAATATCTCATTATGTACTTACATGTACATAATGAGATACCCTGTATATTGGAGATGGGACCCAAGTCTACACATGAAATTCATAAGCATTTATACACATAGCCTGTAGATAATTTTATTCACAGTACTAGCCGTACCTGGCCACGCATTGCTGTAGCTCTCAGAAAACAGGATTTGCAGACATGAAGCAATCTGGGCTAGGGAACTCCTCCCACCAAAGGTTTCCTGCTGGCTAGTAGAAGCCAGGCTGTTATGGTGCAAGGTGGTATGGAAAATAAAGTTATGAGAAGCAGCCACTGAAGCTGGAAGGCTTTTCAGTTATATTCATGCTGGCCAAAACACTAAAAAAGCCTTTTTGAAACAGAGGCTGGGTGGCCATCTGTTGGGGTGCTTTGAATGTGATTTTCCTGCTTCTTCACAGAATGGAGTTGGCCTGGATGGCCCACCAGGTCTCTCCCAACTCTAAGACTCTCTGGTTCTATATCCTCCTCTTCCCTTCACCAGTTTCCCCCTTTCTTTCTTTGTTCTTTCCCTGCCTCTTCCCTTCCTTTCCTCTCCCATCCCTGCCTCCTTTCCCTTCCTTCCTTTTTCTTTCCTTCTACCTTTCCTTCCATTCATAATCTTCTCTTCACCAATCCTTTTCTTCCTTTCTTCTCTCCTTTCCCTTTCTTTCCCTTCCTTCCTCCGGGACAGTTTGTAAGGGTTTTTAAAGGGGAGGGGGGTGAAAGGGGGGATGTGGAGCCCAAGTGGGAGAGTTGCTGGCCTTCTCATGGTTCGCATCCTCCCTTCACCCAACCCGGGGGTGGGTGGGGTGTGCAGCCGCTCCTGCAGTCAGGCTTGCCTTGCAATCCTCTGGTCTTGGGGGAAGAGTTGCCTGGTAGCCACGTGGGCCTCATGGAGCCGCTGCGGTGGCTCCAGCTGCTGCCGGGGCTTGCCTCGCCAAGCCCCCACCCCTCCGTTGGGCCAGGCCTTCTCCTTCCTTCCCTCTTTCCTTTCCTCAATCCCTCCCCTCCCCAAAAGAAAAAGGACTCTGCCTTCCTGCATGGAAAAGGGACTCCATAGCGAGGCTCCTCTTCCCTCACAATGGTTGGTGCTTCATTCTTCTTGCGCAATGGGGAGAGAGGCTTTTGCGCATGCTCTGTAAGGCATTTTTCTTTTTGGGGAGTTTTAAGTTATTTCCCCTTCATTTTTTACAGTTTTTTTGTTTGAAAGACATAGATAGGATTAGAATGTGTTTTGCTGCCAAATTTGGTGTCAATTCGTCCAGTGGTTTTTGAGTTCTGTTAATCCCACAAATGAACATTACATTTTTATTTATATAGATTTTTTCCATAATTTTTGTTCATGAGTTTGTGTATGTTGAACCATCAGAAAGCAAAGTTTTTACTGTCTTTGTGACCCGTGTGAACAATTTTGGAGTATTTTGTAATTCCAGATAAGGGATGTTCAACATGTACTTTCATTTGCTATTTAGGTAGAACACAGTATTCTTAATAGCCGTCTTCTGACTGTTAACCTTGCATGTCATGAATGTTGACTGTTCCTTATTGCTTTTTCAAAAATCTGACTCTCCCTCTCCTGTGTGTGCTGTGTTCAAGTTGCAGATAGCAAGATGTTGTGAAATCTGCTTGGTGATTTTAAAAATTAAAAAATTAGGAGAATTCCGGAGGCTACAAACCAGAACTAGATACAAAATTACAGGTAACTGAAAAATGTTGGAGGGAGAGACAGGACAGTATAAGCAAAATTGTGTTTAATGGAGTCAAACCTTACCCACCTGCAACTCATGAACAATGATACTGGGATGAGCTGCATGCCTAGCTGACTGATTTTAAACCAGAAATGCTGATACAACTGGCATTCAATTGGTTACTTCCAACTAGAGTAGACCCCTTCAATTGTTGAATGGTAAATCAACATGGAGAATTCAGTTGATTGAATGAGTCTACACAGAACTGACAGGAGCATTTATAAAGATGATCAGTAGCTTTACAGAGACTTGAGATGCACCAACACTGTAGAATTAATTGCCTTGGACACTGTTTTAACTGCTAAGGTCAATGCTAAGGAATTCTGGAAATTGCAGTTTGGTGAGACACCCGCACACTTTAGTAGAGAAGGCTAAAGACTTTGTAAATTGCATCTTTCAGGATTGCATAGCATTGACCCATTGTAGTTAAAGTGTTGTCAAACAGCATTAGTTCTACAGTGTAGATACAGCTCTGATTAAGCGAACTCCTTTACAGATGTGGAAAGCAAAAGTGAGGAGTGAATGGATTGACATCCCATCAGAAGAGAAGGCATCTAGTCTAACATTGTTGTCACTGACATCAAATGTAATGGCTGTCAGTTTGGATAGTTTGAAAACAGGATTACACAGATGCATTGAGGATCACTCTGCGAGGGGCTGTTAAGCATGTTTGTAATAAAAAAACCTCTTAAGCCCAGAGGTCTTGGGCTGCTGAATGGTAGCAGCTGGAACAGAGCACAAAATGGGTATTGCATTCCTGACTTGTGTTTGGCCTTCTCCAAGGCCACTGTAGGAACCAGGATGTTTGATTAGCTAGGCATTTGGTCTCCCCCGATTGTGAAGATGTCATCTAAGGTTGTATTGTTTGCCTTCATTGTTTGTTTTGGAGTGTGGGTACTTTGAGAAATGAGCCTGTCTGATTGAGTAAATGTACACCTCCCAAATTAAGAGTGAGAATGTCTGTCAGCCACAACTAACCAAGACATCGCAAGAGGCTTTAGTTCTTGTCCAAATTCAAGGAGACATATCCAAATTGAAATTCCAAAGGGGAGGTTTCCTAGAAGCAAAAAAGTGGGGACCTGCCACAGCTCATTAGGATGGCAGATAATTCAAAGTTTAATAGAGTTTTTGTTTATTGCCTCAATTGCAGTGGCCAGGTTTATTACAAAATTCTGAAGAGGCAGTTTCCTAGAAGCTAAAATTGAGAGGCTTCTCTACAAGGCACCACAGTCAAGATTCCCAGTCAGGAAAAAAGACAGACAAATAGAACTGTGCTACTAATTTGAAGGTTTCTGTAAGTATTGCTGATGGTGATGTTTGAAAAATGGGAAAATAGGAAAGGGCTTATACAGGCACTGCTGGTAAGATTCTGGAAGTAAAATGAATAACATAGTGAGGAAATGGAAGGCCATTTGGTCTATAGGAAGCCAAGGAGTATTGAAAACACTTTAACAAATTACATAATAAGAGCAAGTGGGCTTAATTCTATTGCAGGCACACCCAAATATTTCAGTTAAAGTTGCAGGGAGTCAGACCATGTTCAATATTGTTCACTCTGGCTGTACTTACTTTGAAAGCTATCAGGTAGAGGTCACTTTCAGACAATAGCACGACACATATATTGCTATCAGAGATTTATTTGGAGATTTTACATGCAGAGTGCTGAGCTGTGACCCCTGTTGTCAAGGAAGTGTTCTAAGCCTCAAGCTATGGGTCATGGAAGAGTACTCAAAGCAGATGTAATGCTAACTACTTTTCCTGTAAGGCCAGACGGTTCTGCTGTTGTCAGGGAGAATGCACACACAGTCAAATGTATTACTGCAGCTTCAAAAAAAGAGAGATTGCAATTAAGTAATGTTTATTGCTGTTATTTAAAAGGTTACATATGTATTTCCTTAATTTTTGTAAGGTCTAGCAGTGTATTATATTTTGTTTTACTCCCTCTAAATATCTCAGATAGATCAGTTTTGTTGTTTCCTGTATTGGTTGTTGTGTACTAGAACAGGGCTATCTTGACGTTCCACATTAGATTGATTGCACATGCATCATAAAGTGCTATTGACAGACATGCAGCATATCCAAGGCCATATAGACCTTTCTTAGTTCTAACAACATCCTTAGCATGTGTGATGGGGACAAAAGAGAGGGCATCCTTAATGGCTGCTCCCATTGAGCCTTCATCTTTAGAAAAGATGGGATGGCTACCTTTTTGCTCTCCTTCCACCACCAAGTGATTGTAGTTCAACTGGTGAAACATTGCATAATGGTTATTATATTTATATTCCATTTTTCCCCTGATACTTGGATTTACAAAATATTAAGTTCAATATGTAAAGCATACCAAAAGATCGATAGCACTGGTCTTGAATGTGTTCAGTACGATTGGCGAGGTTTCCCTTCTTGATTATCAGATTTGAGAGGCCTTTCCTCAGTGATTCATAATCAGATGTGCATGCAGATATGTGGTGATTTAATGTCTTGAAAGAGTGGATTTTATTTAATTACAAGATGAGCATGAGCATTGTAAAAAAATTAATAAATACATAGAATATTTTTTTAAAAAAATCAGGGAAATGTTATGTTTGAATCTAAAAAACTTCAATAATAACGCTAAATATTCATTCTTTATAGACTGAACTATTACTCCAGTAACAACTACATCAGTGCCATTGTGAAAATATATCCAGGTAAGTATTAAATCACAGAGATCTATTGGAATCTTTTCAAATTGTCTAAATACATTATGTATGTAATAATCCATACTCTATAATCTGTTGCTTATATTTGAGTAGATATGGCATGGTTTGAGGATTAACATTTAAGGCTATAGCAAAAGAGCACCATTTTTGGTGTATTTCTGCATCCTTATACATTATGTACTCATGTATGAGTTGACCTCATGTATAACTCAAGGGCAGGTTTTGAGTCCAGAATCAGGGAATTTTATATGATCAGTTGAAAAGTCAAGGATCATTCCACAGAGAAGGGAAAGTGCCAGTGCTGCCTCAGGAGCCAGCTGCCCCTGGCCACTTCACCATCATTTCCCCACTCAGGCATTCAAAAAGGCAAGAAGCAGTGTCACAAGGGGGAGAGTGAAGAGGTTCATTGCTTCTTTTAGGTTCTCTCAGAATAGACTGAGCTCCTGCCTTTCACCACTGTACTCATAAAAGAGAATATTTTAAAATAAGAATTAAGATACAGTACTGATCCTTTACTAACATTTCTAGACCTATTCAGGAATATGTCAGCTATATCTTAAAGGGATCAGATTCCATCTAATCTAGAAAGCTGAGCAAAGTTAGTTCTGTTTAGTACTTGGATAGGAGTGGGACCCAAGGTGATTCACAAATGAATAAGGTAGAAATAATACAGTTTTAAACACAATTTCAGTCACCATTTTCCAGGAATAGATTATAAACAGTATTAAATCTTTAAAAGTGTTGTTACCCTGTGCCTTCAGTTTCTTTCTGATTAATGATGACCCTAAGGTGTCCTATCAAGGCATTTTTTGCAAGATTTGTTCAGAGGGGGTTTGCTTTTGCCTTCCTCTGAGGCTGAGAGAATGTGACTTGTTCCAGGTCACCCGGACGGCTAAGTGGAGATTTGAAACCTAATCTCCAGAGTTGTAGTCCCAATGCTCAAGTTACTCCACCAAACATACAAAACTTAAAAATAAAGTAATTCCATATTAAAAACCAGTTTGAATAAAACAATATTTGTCCGCTGAAATGACAGCATAGAAGGGACCATCGTAGCCTCTTGCAGAAAGGAATTCCAGAGGGTGGGAGCTGCCAACAAGAAGGCTTTTTCCTATGCCTTCACCTGCGAAGGTGATGGGGCTGAGAATAAACCATCCTCTGTGGATCTTAAGAGTTTGGTGGGTTTATATATGAATATGCAGTCTTTTCAGATAGTCTGTCCAGAGAGGCTGAACCTGGGATCGTGTTGTATTTAAGATCTGAATTCTCCATGTGCTCAGGGTTGTGAGCCAATGATATTAAGTTTAAGGAACTCCACTGGCTGCAGTTCATCTTCCGATCCCAATTTAAGGTACAGGTCATTACCTATAAAGCCCTGAACGGTTTGGGACCCACCTACCTTCGTGACCGCATCTCCGTCCACCAGCCTGCACAATTTCTCTGTTCCTCTGGGGAAGCCCTCTTTTCGCCTCTTTATTTATCACAGGCAAGGCTAGTGGGAACAAGGGAGAAGCCGTCTCCGCTGTGGCTCCCCATCTTTGGAACTCACTACCTGGTGAGATTAGGCAAGCCCGCTCCTTTGCAGACTTCAAGAAAAACTTGAAAACCTTGCTCTTCCGTTGTACCTTTGGAGAGTGACCATTTATCCCACTTTGCTCAATCTATAGTGTTGCCCCCCCCCCCCAATAGTGTTGCCCTTATGACGCACTTTCCCCTGCCCTAAACTGAATGCATTACCCCACTGTTTTATACTTTTTGGGCTCCCCTCACTTACACATTTTCTATCCATATCTCAGGGTTTTATTTTATTTCGCCCATTTGGCCTGCCTATCCTGTTTGATTTGATTGTGTTAATTTGCTTTATTGTTTTGTTTTTGCCACTGTAATTATTTTCTGTTGTAAGTTTTGTTTTTGCATTCTGTATTCTACTGTGTTTTATTGCACCTTTTGGGCTTGACCTCATGTTAGCCACCCTGAGTCCCCATTGGGGAGATGGTGGTGGGGTATAAATAAAGATGATGATGAGGATGATGATGATGAATAGCATACAAAAACTGTGGTTCTTTCTTTAAGCTGCAGAATTCTTCAAACTGGGCAGTGACTTAGTTGTGTACATTCCCCCTTTGTGAAGTCACTTAATCATACAATATAAACAGGGATTACTGGTAAAAATGAGTCAGTATCTCCATGTGCTCAGGGTTGTGAGCCAATGATATTAAGCTCTATTAACTAAATAGAGACATTACTGGTACAAGTTTTAGTAAATGTACAGCTGGAGTTAAAATATTTGTGTTTAGGTGTGCTCAAACTGATATTTTACAAATATCAGTTTATAACAATTTTTCATTCTTAACAGGCCACCGATAATTGATTTTTTTTCAGGGTAAAATGGATCTCTTATAGTGTGCTGGACTTGTGTTCATTCTGTTTCAAAGATTTATATTTTTACTAGTTTTATTTACCGAGGGCTTAATTAATTTGTAACTTTTGTATACTGTGTCTTTTTAATTATGTTTGCCTTAATAGGTTGTAAATTTCCTTCAGCCCCAGACTTGGAAAAAGATGGCTATAACTGAGTATCGTTATTGTCATTTCTTTGCTCTGTTTTATTTTGTAATTAAATTAATTGTTTCACAGCACCCTCTTCATTAATCTTACTTCCTTTGCTTATAATGTAATGTGACTCCTGGTAGAGAGTGAAAAAAACAAATGGACCCTGGAATACTACCAGTTTTAGTTTGATCAAGAGAAGCTTATTTGTGAAATAAGAAGCCACTTGGAAAACCAAGCATAAACAATAAAAACAGCAAGCAAATCTCAGGGGTGCTGTTATATATCAATTTCCTTTATACATCAAGACTGCGATCTAAGCAGATGGCACTGGATATACTTTTGATCTCTAGATTGAGGCATGATCAAAATATGTCTATCTATAGACTTATCCGAAACTTGTAATGATCTATTGAAGAGTGCATTTACTTAAATGAATAACTCCAGGCTAAAACAATCACATAATGAAAGGGACAAGCTAGCTGATCTATATCTTGTAAAACATTGCTAAACTGTGTGGTGGCTAAGGATTGATTTCCTTTTGAATTTTTGCAGATAATGTCCAAACATGTAGATAAAGCATGTGGTCAATGCAAAATGGCTGTTTGACACCAGTAGAAATCCAAAAGGTACGAAAAGCCAATTCATGCCTTAAATATTTTAAAAGTGTGTTTTTGCTGCCCAATGTATGCTTAAAATTTAAGTCGATTATATGCTAATCACTTGTGATTGCCAAGATATTTTTATTTTTTTATTTTTTTTTCCACAGGAAACTATGACTGGACTCATGGAGGCTCATAAGCAAATGCAAAACATATTTAAGTTCACCCAATGTGTGTGTGTTTAGGTGTGTGCCTTCAAGTAGCTTGTCAACTGATGTACTCAGACAGGTCACTAATTTTTCTTTTGGTGACAGATGCTTGTACTTAATGGTATGATACCCTTGCAAGCTTTTTGCAATGTTTTAGAGCTTGTTACTAGAACAGCATAGCTGATACCATTTATGCTATTTTGAGCCCTTGCCATAGGACACATTTGGGGGAGGGGTGAAAGTGGGGTGGGAGGCTCAAACCATTTTTAGCAGAAAAACAATCTGCAAGTGGTTTATTAAGGCTGGTAGGAAGTATATTTTAAGTTGTTCCTTTTTTCTTTAATCCTCATTTCCTCAAACATGTTCTACACATTTTATTCTGATCTCATAGAGCAGTAAATGTTCTGCAGATAAATGCATTCCACAAAGTTTTCTTTACATGATTGAGCTAAGAAAAATGGGGAGCTTTCATACTAATAATTCTTGTAAACTTAGTGTCAATGCTCAGTTGTTTGAAATGAGATTTTTTTTTTCATACATGATAAAGCTAAGTCAAATTACAGAGACATTAAAGATAGTGATTCAAAGATAGCCAGTCCAGAATATCTGGGTGCAAAAGGGTATCTCTCATAGCACTTTAGAGGCTAAGTGAGAAAATGAGTTGATAGCATAAGCTTTCTTAGACTGTATTTACTTTCTCAGATGCCCAGAGTGAAGTGCCTAGGGACTGATCTTTATAAGTGAATGGACATAAAAATGCAAACCTTGTGGGTATGGTGATAAGGTGACAAGTTCAATATTTCATTATTGTCATTGTCATTGCGGGACAAAGATAGGAGAGAAAATGTTGCCTAAGGGCAAGGTGAGTATAGCTAACCATATGAATGGTAGAGGAAGTTATTGAAATACAATGTAGTGTTGGCTGGGAAACAGGTAGGAGATATGGTGAACTAGCAAAGAGAGCCCTCATGAGACTGTGGTGTTAACTAGTGTTATAATGGACTGGGGTATGAGGATATATTCCAATTCAACTGTTTCTGTTTCCAATGTTCCTTTCTAGTTTTTTTTGTTTTTGTTCAAGGATAGGTGTTCTGAAATCTGAGATGGAATACCCAGAAAGTATTTTCTAGCTTGTTTTTTAATCATAGAATAGAATCATAGAGCTAGAAGAGAGCATAAGGGCCATCCAGTTTAACCTCCTGTTATGCAGGAAAAAAACAAAGTACTCCTGACAGGTGGCCATTGAGGTTCTGCTCAAAAACCTCAGGAGAAGGAGACCCCGCCACACTCCAAGGCAGCATATTCCACTGCCAAACAGCTCCTACCATCAGGATGTGCTTCCTAATGTTTATTTGGAATCTCTTTTCATTGCAGTTTGAACCCATTGCTCCATGTCCTAGGCTCAGAGCAGCAGAAAACAAGCTTGCCTCCTCCTCAGTGTGACATCCTTTTATACATTTATACAGGGCTATCATGTTCCCCTCAACCTTCTTTTCTCTAAACTAAATATACTTAGCTACTTATACTGCTCCTCATAGGGCTTGTGGCTAGCCTATTTGAACAATGTATAGTGCTGAAGGGCATCATTGACATAGAATGGTGTAAGCTCACAGCAGCCGCTCCCAATAACGACACAGGACGCCAATCCGTAATCAATCAGGAACTTTTA